CACACCTTCCCCTCAACTCCAAACATGGATTCTGGAATTCTATTTTCTGGTAGCTTTTAGGGGTTCTTTTGAAATTTCTGATGTATCTTTATCGTTTTTTGTTTTTTTAATGAAAATTCCCACTTCCAGGTTAAGGTTCCTCAGAAGGGATTGTTTTGTTGATTTTTTTAAAAACTGTATTTTGTTTTCTTTTAATTTTCCCCCATATGGCTTGGCAGGTGATGTTGTTTCTGCAAAGTGCTGAGAGAGTAGGCCTTGTGATTTACTGGTGGTGACCAGCTAAGATCATACATGTACATATACATATATGTGACTTTTTTCTATATCACCTTCATTGCTGAACCAAGATTTGTTAACTCAACACAAGCCAATCTACAGTAAACACCCAAGACAAAACAAATGTTAATTTTGCACAACAGAGGATGGAAGTAACTATAAATAATATAAAACAAGATCCCAAATCCTTTTTAAAAAACTAAAAATGAATAAAAAGCCAGTTCCAAATATCTAAGGGATCAGAAGTACTAAATGACACACTGCAGGTACACAAAGATAACTATTAAAAATATGAAATATCTAACCAAGTGACATTTATTTAATCTACCTTATAACAAGGTGTCAAACAGTCCTGTTGTGTTTGTCATGATAGCAAACTTTGGACTAGTATTGCTTGTCAGTTGTGACTTACAATATTATTGCTATCTTGTTTGTTTTGTTCATAGAAAATAAGCAAGACAGGTGGCGTAGATAGAATGACGGATACCTCAAAATACACTGGATCTCATAAGGAACGCTTTGATGAGAGTGGTAAAGGCAAGGGTCTGGAGGGTCGTAAAGACTTTGATGACAAGGCTGCAGAAGGTTATGTTGGGGGCTACAAGGGAAAGGATACTTATGATAAGACTCATTAGTCAAAGGACTTTGAAACAGGTTCATACATACTAACTGCATTATCTGCTTGATTTCTTTGTATGGTGAACGGTGACTAATTTTCAATGGAGTAAAGCAAACTTTTATGCACATGAGATATAAAATGTAGCTTAAAATGTATGTTGAACATGTGAGTAATGGCCATGCTGTTTTAATGTTTTCTGGTGAAGTGACTCAAACTGTGATTGAGTGATTGTTGTCCTGCATTGGTTTAAGTCACTTAAACTACATGTACTAATATGAGAGAGTTAATATTGTAAACAATTGTAAGTTGTTCAGCAGTTTGTAACTGATTTAGTTAGATGCTTTTGATGTTTGAAGTCATTGTAAATGTAATTTCTACATGAAATGAATAAAGTAAACAGAACTTAAATTGTAGCGGAGTTTCCTTTTTTAAAGGTTTTGAATTAAATTAATTTACTCTCGAATAAATTTGATTCATAACAAGCAGATACTGAAAACAAGAGCTTGACCTAAAAAACCTTTTCAGACTGAGGACCTTGTTATTAGGAGTTGTGCATTCCTGACTGCATGTAGAAATGGCACATAGCCTGATAAAATAATTATTTGTGATAAACCTTTGATCCTTGTCAGATATCAAAGAATACTTTATGTAACTCACATGAATTATCTTGTTTGGATAATTTATTTACACAGGATGTTTATTAGTGTACAAAGTTTGGTTTGGGATTTTAAGAACTCCTTATTATCTCGAAAACAACTTACAGTACAGGTACATGCTTGTTTAGGTTCTCAGCCCGTTCCTTAAATTATGAAAAACTCTCTGAAGTACTTTTAGAAACTACTCTCTAAAGCACCTTTCGTAACGTATCGAGGTAGGCCTACAACAAAGAACTGACACTATTGAACTTCATGTACTGGTATATGGAGCTAACACTGACTGTGCTTTGTACTCAGATGTTAGCAAAACTTAACACCTGAGAGTACATGGGGTAAATGTTACTTGGGGCTATGAAATGAAGCTTTGAAGGCAGGATTTGAATATTCTTGAGATTTTATGCATACAGAACAAGAGGCAGAAATAATTGACATCCATCAAAATTCAATCTGCTGTCTAGAGTTTCTGCTATGATGGTCACATGTGAATGATAACCCCTGTTAATAAATTTACACCATTACTTCAGTCTGCAAATATCAACACATCCAGTGGTCAGACAATATCAATGACATCAAATACAGATAAAAGAATTGTAGAGACTCATTAACTCAGCCAAATCCAGAATGACTATACAACAAAGCAACATGTGACTTTATTACAGTGTGTTTGATGTTTATTCATTACTTACATATGATAAATCTTTGTTTTTGAACCTAAATGAATAAATTACTGTATTTTCAGATAACAAGACGTGTTTGCTTTGTATTTCAATCACATTTTATTATAATTAATTAATTTAGACTTTCATTAAAAGTTAGACTTTATATGAAAGGTATAGGTATATCAAAACACATAGCCAGAGTGCCAAAACATTATACAATAGTACATGTATACATCACTACATCACTCTGAGTCTCTTAAGGCACCTTACTTCTTGCCCCCTCAATAATATTATAGAGAAGTTTCCACTCAAGGAGGGTTTGCTCAAGAAAGATTTCTGTTTTCTCAGTTGGCTATATTAACACATCACTAATATTGTAAACAGCTTTAGTTTGCACTGTTGGGTAGCCAGTCTATTGTCTTTTTGAGATTGTCATAGCTCCAGTGCATCTGGTGTACTTCATGCTGATGTCGTTGTCTTGTCTCGTCCAGTTCTCGTAGCAAATGGTCATTGGTGGAAACTAAGGATCTGGATAAAACGGAAACATACATGTAGAAATGTATTGTTGGATTCATAACATCTGCGCAACTTTTCTTATCTTTTTTAGTCTCAATACTTGGTGGTCATGAGGATGCCCCACTCTTATTTCACCTGCAACACTCCAAGAGAGTGCCTTTTACATGTACCTGTCCCGTATTTCATTTACAGTGTACTGAAACCACCACCGAGCAAACATTTGTCAGATTAATCACAATTTCTGTCTCACACTATGGCTGTACCTTCTGTGGTCAAAATGTCAGTCATCAACAGTCTTTCACAAGACCAGTGATTCTCATCAAGACTGGAGAACACACAAAGAACTAAAGACATGCGCCTGGATTCAGACTGTTTGATTCAGTAAGTTTGGTACCTGTGACTTTCTTGCAGCATGTTTGTGAGCTCTTGAAGTTGCTGTAAATTGACATTTTGTTGTTGAACTTGCTGGTTGAGGGATTTGACTTGTTCTTGGAGTGAAAGATTTCTGTGTTGAAGTTCTCCTGTGATAGATTGGAAAGCATTTAAAATAATGTTTCAGGCAACTACAGTAAATAATATTTTAATGGAGGAATGTCAAAATATATCAGGTGTAGTGATTCTGGGCCAACCATCTGAGCAACAAAGAGCTGTACAAAGGCACAGGTAGTACATCAGTGTCAGCCCTCGTACAAGTGAGAAAATGACGATTGATAGGGCACGTACATGTACTGAGGAAAAGTCCCAAGAGCATCTCGAGGACTGCGCTGACATGGGTACCTGAAGGTAAGAGGAGGCTTGGTCGACTGAGAGAAACGTAGAGGAGAGCCGTCGAGAAGGAGAGAAACAAGCTTGGATGGCATTCACAGGGTGCTGCTGCCATGTCAGCGTAGGACTGTGATGGATGCCACAGTCTTCTGGCTGGTCTCAGGAGTCCTCATGGGCCCGAAGAGGATAAGTCATAGTAGTAGAGTAAGTTAAACCTTCATTACCTGCATGTGTGCAGAAGTTATGAAAAGAATACAAGAAGCCTGGCAGCTGATGAACTGGTAGTGCGTGCCATACTTTGTGTTTAACCATGATAAATGTACAGTATGAATTGAATACCCTTTAACAGATAGATTTCTACAGTTGTACCTCAAAATTTCATTGCCAAGATGTAAATATGCAAAATATTTGGTTTGTTATAGATTTACAAGAGGGTTGCTTAAAGGTTAAATACCAGTAACGAACAAGCAGTTTGTAAACATTGGCACATTTTTTACAAACTGGCTGTCTTTACAAAAGGACCCTATGGGTCTTCCAAGACTGCGAAGACAACCAACAATATGAAGGCTTTTAAAAATATTACAATCACTGCTCAATTGCTGTTTCTTAATCCCACTGGCCCTGTCAATTCCCCCTGACTATTATCAAATGACCAAATTCTTGTACAAAAAGCAGTGATACATTTATATCATTATCAAAATTAATAAAGCTACCTATAAGTTTCTCTTGTTCTGTGGCTCCATGTGAGGCAACTTCCAATGATGTTATTTTAGATTGCAATGCATTATTTTCTTCCTGAAATTCCAGCAGTCTTGACCGCACAGTTGCCTAATATTGTGAGGAAAGAAAGTGGACTACCATTAAATACTTAATTGCCATTGAATGTTCCTCTAGGTATTTAAAACAAATTAATCTGCTCATTTAAAATACAATGTATATGACTTTACATTAATTAATAATATCCAATTTCAAGGTGGAGGTGAAAAGTGGTGGCAGGATTTTGCAGTTGAGCTAGTGAGTTCTGTCCTTCACTTGTGTGACGGGCGGTGAAGTTTCTTCAGAACCTTTTTTTTTTCAGAAATCCGAATAAGAAAAGCACTGCAAGAGACAAATCTTTTGAGGCTAGTAAGAATGACTTTTGGGCTAGTACAAAAAAGTTATGGATCATGTGTCAATCAATACCCTTGATTGACATCTCGATCAATTCTCGGTCGACACTACATGTACTCTCTAGACCAACACTCCATCAACATCTTGATTGATGCTTGATCGACACTCAATCAACAGTCGGTCGGTAGTTGGCCGAATGTTGAACGACTCCTATGTATTGATTGACACTTGATGGTATATCAGTGAAAATTACTTGACTCTTGACTGACTGACGAGATGTTGATTGAGTGTTGACTATGTTGATTGTGCAATTCGATCAAGGGTATCAATTGACACTTGACCGTTACACATGATCCAAAGTCACAGCCCGAAAATTGGTTTTCTTTGCACTTTGAGACCAAACAAGCTAAGTATCAAGCAGACCAAAAAATTACTGCAAGTGTTATCTCTGACAATAAGCCAGCAAAATAATGGCCTCATATTATGATGATAAACAGTGAATTGGTGGGCTAGTCAGTCATGAAGAAATCAGATTACCAACCAACTCATGGGATGCTGCATCCAGTGAATCCTTTAAGCCCTCATGACTTTTTAATTTGCCACGAACTTGTTCCAGTTCAGTTTGTTGTTGTGACATTTGATCACGGAGTCTTGATATTTCAGCAGTTCTCTCAGCCAGTTCTGTTTGTAGCTTATTACTGTCACGCGATGGTGTTACATGTAGGCTGTCCATGGCAGCAGGTAAGTGAGAAGAGAGAAGTTTTTGAGCAAGGTCTGCAATTAGGATCAACAGAAATTGAGGATGACACAGTATTTTCAAAATTTGCTACTTGACAACGCATTAAGATCATCTGGGCTCAGGGTAATTCTTAATGGGAAAGACTGTTGTAAGTTACAGTCTCATTGTCCTGATTAAGAGTATTAACCTGGCATGATGTGATTGACTGTGGTCAGTCACTTCAAATACAGTACATTACAATCTATTACAATTGGTCTGGAAGTCACTCACTTGACTCTAAAAAGATGAATTTAATATAATAATTATTGTTTAATCAGTTGTTGAAATGTCAGTAATTTACGACAACCTTTCACCCTCCAGACAACTCAGATTAAGATCATCAATCTTGATGTCACATAATGACATGGTTCTAGCTAGGTCATGCATACAGTGTAGACATTTGTCCTCTTGTATTCATATGATGTACAGTTTTAGTAAGCTACAAAGACTAATAAACCTATGTACAACAAGTCGAGAACTTTCATACAGATATTGTAAATGACTACCTAAGTGTGTTTGGATCAGTCACATGTAGTACTACTTAAACAGAATAATTGGTCTCAAAATTCCAGGCCTTAAAAACTGAGTAAGAAGTGAAAAGTGTTTAAAAGACAGAACGAATCTGTAGGCGATGCTAGCTGAAAAAACAGTTTCAGTTTTTTTGAACTCACTTTGAAACTTGGAATGGCGATGAAGTGATTTTGATCCATTCCAATACCTGTGTGAACATTAAACTGAATTTAAAAAATATATATTAAATTCATAAAGAGAAACATAAAGCCCCTGACAGCAACTTCTACATAAGCATGTTGTGTTGTAACTTTTGGTATAACATTCAAACCAGTTCATTACTTCTCTCTTGTGTACCAGTGCAAAAGACTTTTAAATTGGAAACAATACACTACAGCCAACCAATTACTCTAAAACAAAGACGTGAGCTACACAATGATGCTACTCAGGTACATGCATACTTCTGGAACAGGAAGTTCATTTAAGGCTCTGGAACTTTGCTGAAGAGCTGCACAATCCTGCTGGTGTAACTTTGTTAGCAATTAAGAGCAATGAAGAGAATACAAATCACTCTGGAACACTAACAGGAAAACTGTGGGTTCTGCCCTTTTCATTACCAGAGCGATTACTTTGCTGAAGTGTAAGATTGTGACTGTTTTAAATGTGGTCCTTTCCCTCTAAGTGGAGACACACTGGCCTCATGGTTAGTGTGCTCGCCTCCTGATTGAGTGTTGTGGGTTTGAGCCCTAGCTGAGGACATTGTGTTGTGTTCTAGGGCAAGACACTTTATTTTCACAGTGTCTCTCTCCACCCTGGTGTATAAATGGGTACCGGTGAACTTAATCCTGGGAGGTAACCCTGTATGGATTAGATTCCCATCCAGGGGGGAGTGGAAATTAATACTCCTACATGCTATTGAAAATGGAGATAAGGGCCGGCCTGATGGGCCACTTGGCTCACATCCAGACTTTTTACCTTATCTTACAGTGTACATGTACCTTAACCTCTAAGAAGAGGGACCTCGTCAGCTTATTAATATGCAAGTTGCATCCATTTTAGATGGGATCTAGTACCATTGATAAATACTTACTTGTCTACTAAGTCAAGAAGTTTGTTTAAAAGTCCTGAGCCTTGGTCTAAGCCATCAGCAGTTACCTGAGAAAAAACAGAGGGGCTAAAGACATTAAAAAGTAGTAAATGGACTCAGGAAAACATGTAGTTTTGTACCTTAAAGAAGTCAACCAAGGACCAAGGCCTCGTATTATTCATATCAATTGTGAATTAATCATGAAAATACAATTATGGCTTTTGAAAACACAACAGAGGGAAACCGCAAACCCCAGCGGAATGTTTTCGATAATTATATATTTCTCACGTTTAAAAGCTTGTAATCATTGAACAGCTACATGTACATGTATTAAGTGAGCAGTTGATCTGTCCAAACCACCTGCAATCTTTACAAGTGAGCTGGCCTCACAAGTTTAATACAGGCAACCTACAAGTTTACAAAAGAACATGTTACGTGAAATATCTACATGTACTTCTTCCATTATTGTCAGTACTTACTACTTTAGTAGGGTTAGCATAGGGATCATGTGTTGGAGTTTCCCTTGTGGTGTGAATTTCATCTCCTCTACCTATCTTGTCGGCAAGAGGTCTTTGTGATTGCTTTGGAGAAGACTGTCTTTTTCTAGAAGGTGACAGTTCATATGACCTTGCAGATAATGGCACATGTGAGTCCTGTACTCTTTCTTGCATCCCACGAGTGTCACACCTGACAGATATCTCAGAGCTAGGCTCTTCTTGCATGTGTCTATGGTCACGTGACCAAATATTATCACTGGGTGTCAATGAGTTGTGTAGTTGTCTAGGTGA